ATTCTTTCTCGTTTTTGCAGGTTCAATTAGCTGTGATATCTGTGGTTCTCTGTTGGTGATTGGCGGATAATTTCTTCTATCCACTTAATAAATTGTTTTTTTCCAAAGGATTTACTTTTGATCTGCACGCATATCATCGGTGCAGTACGCTGGATGGGTCGACAATCCAAAAGAACTGTATATGCCAACAAGAGGATTACTATTGACTCTAGTTGGAAGATAGATTTCTAAGGTAAGACATCCAACATGTACCTGCAATCTGACCATTATCATGTTTTACCAGATCGAAATGTGTAACTAATGGAAGTATTAGTAGAGGTTTTACGTGCAAGTTCAACATGCCAAGTACTTTTTGAAATTGATAACATCAAATCTAGAGTACCTTAACTTACAACACTTGAAATAGAAAGGGACAAGAATGAAGCTAAGACAGGGCTTTATACTTCAATATTTTACCTTACTACTCATTTTGTCAACCACCAACGTCATGTACCTAGTGTAGGGCAATTCTACAGTACACTCTTTACTTATTAAGAGGTAATATCTAAAATAAATCTGAGCCAGTGATGTAACAATTATTGTGATTCACAAGGGCTAGTTAATTCTGGTGGTATGCCTATTTGAACCATTTGACAAATGAGCCACAAGCAAAGTACCAATATGATTCATACATATTTTGGGCATAAGGCTGCAACCAAATAATTGACCAAAGTAGAATTGTACCTCAAGGACAGCCTGCTAAAACAAATAACTAACAAGCATTCTAACATTAACTAAAGCAGTAAAAAATTAACCTGATATTAACAGTAACAATTTTGTATAGACCAAATAAACAACTAGTAATAACAAGCAGTTTATCACCCACAAGCAATCCATAGAATGTCATCACAACCTACTAATTTTGCAAGAGCTAAAGTCTCAATTTTTTATGAGAGGAACATCATCACAGTTATAGTGATGTAAGGCAAGATATCAGAGGAAAAAAATTTATTGGCTATTTAAAATGTCTATCATTTAAGTGAGGTCTGGAAGGAGATGGCAGCAGCGCCTGGACAAATCTGAGATCGACGATTGGAGCTCAAGCAACTGAAATAAAATCAACACTTCCCCTTTCCCACCTGCACAATCTGCTTCAGATAGTCAGATTAAAACTGCCATGTTTCATGCAGCATTAGAATATAAGTAGATATTTAATTTTGTCCCAAAACAAATTTAAGACCACCATATGCCATACACTACTTGAACTCAGGAAGCAAAAATTAGGTTCTGCACTTACAATTTAAGAATTTTTCATCCCGATTACTAATATATGTACACGAAGCTTTCCCCTCTTTTGTTATTCAATCATAAAGCTATAAAGTTAACAGCAACACCTAGCACTATCAATGTAATCAGAGAAAAATAACAAACGATCTGCTCAACCTAGATAAGCATGGAGAACAGTTAGATCCCACATTATGAGGAAAACAGTATCTTATCTCTCTCTAAATGGTACCGACCAAAATGCCGGATGGGTGTGACCACAGACACAGGATAAATGCTTAATTTAGTGTTCTATAGTATTCCTTGATATAAGAAAAGGAAAAAGTCTACTTAACCCCCCACCTTTTATACTTGGTCTACTTCACCTCCAACTATGAAACCGTCTGTTTTACCCCCTGAACTTTCTAAAACCGTCTATTTTACCCTCTGGGCGGTTTTCAATGGCTGTTGCTACAGTAACAGCGGGGTTGGTACAGTAACAGTGGTTTTGAATTTCCTTTTTTTCATTTATTTTCGGTGACTTTTTGAAAAATCATAGTAAATAATAGAAAAATCATAAAATGAAAAATCTAATTTTGTTGGACTCCACATGAGTAGATCTACATAGTGAATATATAATACAGTATGCTTTCGTACAAAATTTTTACTGTAGCCTTAGATTAATTGGGAAATCTAATTTTGTCTGTAATTAATTGGAATAATTCATAGCTGCAGCTTCTATGATCCAATTGTGGTGAAATTTTTATGGTACGCTAATTATTATATGCTTGAACTATAGTAAAAATTTCGTACTCATTGGACTATGTATAACTTAGTTATAGATAAATTCTAATTAATTACAGACAAAATTGGATTTTCCAATTAATCTAAAGCTACAAAAAAAAATTTGTACTAAAGCATACCGTATTATATATTCACTGTGTAGATCTATTCATGTGGAGTCCAATAAAATTAGATTTTTTCATTTTATGATTTTTCTATGATTCTTCAAAAAATCACCGAAAATAAATAAAAAAATTCAAAACCACTGTTACTGTTACTGTAGCAGAACCGCCGTTGAAAACCATCCAGGGGGTAAAATAGACGGTTTTAGAAAGTTCAGGGTAAAATAGACGGTTTCATAGTTGGGGGTGAAGTAGACCAAGTATGAAAGGTGGGGAGTTAAATAGACTTTTTCCTATAAGAAAACAACCAATGTTATGATTTAATAGCAGTCGAAAGATGGTAGGCAGATGGAGATTAATAATCTGAAAACATATATTTTATTTTACAAGAAGCATCATTGTGTCATGTGCGCACTGATGATTCCAGTGTAGTATTAAACAGCAAAAAATACTGAATACATGGATTATTTAAATGCCTGCTGGTACTTGATGGATTCATTTGCATTGCTGTACAACTCAGTTTTTTTTTGACACAGAATGAGTTATGCTTGCTAGCACTTGATGGATTTTCCACTAAACCAAATGTCAAATAATTGACCCTTTTAACTGGAAAAATGAATCTGTGCATCAAATCAAAAAAAAAGTTGAAGCGAAATTCAATTGGAAGTATGGGGAACGAATCTGTGCATCAAATTGAAAAAATGGACGAGTAATGGAAGTAGAAGTACCTTTCACGAAGGGCAGGTGACCCTAATCTGAGATTGGGCAGGGATGGCCCCCAAAGCCTGATGCGGAGGACGGAGTGCACCTGTCCACTAAACCTGATTAGTGATTTGATTGAAGAGAGAAGGGATTAGAGTACTTGGGGAAGAACAGATGGGGTCATGGGGGAAGGGCGCAAGAGGAGCAGAGAGACACAGAGGAGCGCCATCTCCGCAACGCTGCCATCAGCGCGAATCAGCCGCACCTTCTCACTGACGTTTGCTAGGCCGCCACCGCGCCCTCCACTTCGGCGGGGTGCTCCTCCTTGCGTGCTCGCAGGTCGCCGCCGGCTCGCGCCACAACTACTCACAAGCAGATCTGGATCTCATGGGTGAGGCGAGGGAAAAGAAGAGAAAGGAGTCCAAGAGGAGGGGGGTTATGGGGGTGCGGTGAGGAGCAGAGAGCCCGCAGAAGGTGGCAGGGACCGTGGTGAGGAGGGAGAGCTGCGGGGGGCGCGGGGGAGCAGGGGAGCAGCGATTGGCGAGGAGGAAGATTGGGAACGAATGGATCTGGGGGATGACTCATGGGCGTGTGCGGAAAGGATAAGTCCGGCAATTTTTCGCCTCGCGCGTCCGTCTACCTCTGCTACGTGCCAATATTTTCACCCGGCTCTCTGAGACGTGGGCCAAGCCATACGACTTGAGCGCGGGCTGATGTATTTCGGGTGCGGGGCTGGCCTCCCTGACGGTGTGAAAAGCTTTCCTATCAGTGCAACGCAAACGCAGGGAAAGATGAAGCTCTCGTGACGGGTGGTGCCCGAGTTTGCCGAGTGAGGGTTAGATATTAGACACTCGGCAAAGGACTTTTTTTATTATTTTTTTTATTTTTCTCTTTTCATGGAGGGACACGTGGCGCCATGTTTGCCGAGCGCCATAATTTGCCGAGTGTTTTTCCCATATTTACCGAGTGCCGGAGTTTGCCGAGTATTTTTTAGTAGAATTGCCGAGTGTCAGAATGTTTGCCGAGTGTTTTTTAGTAAGGCACTCGGCAAACAGAGAGTTTGCCAAGTGCAGAATCTTTGCCGAGTGTTTTTAGTTTGGCACTCGGCAAAGAGATGGTTTGCCGAGTGTCCGTTAAAATACACTCGGCAAAGAATATGACACTTGGCAAAGCCTTCGATTCTGGTAGTGTACCTAGTGTATTATTAGTTTCTATTCCATATGGAATGGCATTATGCACGATTTATTGACGGTAGAGAAATGATGTTTATTCCTATATAACTTAATAACAAGGTGCACGAAAAATCTGGATGTGAGTTCACTATACTCATATAAAACCTATTGTACAAGGGCTTTGCTCTTACACTCCCAAATGACTACTAGGAAGTAATATGTAAAATATATATTTATTTTAATTTTTTATTTTGTAAAATAGGATAAATAAGGTAATTTTTAGATATATAAAAATCTTTTTTCTACATCTAATTGATGCATGTGTAATCTATTAGATATGGTAAATCTTTTTATTTTGGAACTTTGGACTGATCTATTTTAATTAGCATGTTAGTCTTTTGATGATGCATGTAACGCTCCGTGTTAGGTACCGTCGTCATGTTAGCTCACGATTTTTTGATGCAACATGTCCCTCCTGTGTTCACTTGCGTATTTAAATGAATGTAAGATGTATATGCAAGTTAAGATTAGGTGTATGATGCATGTATAACATGTATACGCATGTAACATACATCTCCTGTGTATTGTGTTAGCTAGCGTTAAGATGTATATGCGAGTTAAGCTGAGGCGTATTATGCATGTATAATATGTATACGCATATAATAACATGCAACGTGCACACGAACTAAGAAATGAATGACCGCTTGCTTCTTGTACTCCTGTGATTACAGGATTTGAAAAATCTTTTTTGTTATATTTATTTATTTTATTAAATAATAAAAAATCAACGGTTCAGACTGATTTGTGCTATTACCTCCTATTAGGTAATGCGAGTACCGCAGCATTGCCCTACAAATCAGTAGTGGTATATGTTAAATTTAATGAATGTTATCACATTTGGAGACCAAGTTAAGATGTCTTCTCATTCATTGCCCAGCCTCCAACTCTTTATGTGGATCTCCCTAACCATCTTGGTCTGATGGCAACCATACTTGAATCTTTTGTCGGATCATGCGTGAAGAAGTTGCAAGATATTGTTACAGAGGAGGCCATACTAATTTTAGGTGTTAAAGAAGAGCTCATAGAGCTGAAGAGAAGAATGGAGCAAATATGGTACTTTCTTAATGATGCAGAGAAAAGGAGCATAAAAGAATCTGCTGTTAACAATTGGCTTGGTCAGCTAAGAGATGCTATGTATGATGCTGATGATATCATTGACTTGGCCAAATCCAAAGGAAGCAAGCTATTGCCAGACCATTCTTCATTAGTATCAAGCAGTTCAAATACATGCAGTGGCCTTTCTCTTTCCTCTTGCTTTTTTAATATCCAGACACGTCATGAGATTGCAGTTAAGATTAAAAACTTAAACAAAAGAATTGATAATATTTCAAAGGATAAAGTATTTACTTCACTCAAGAGTACACAATCAACTGTAACAGTTTCTGTACCAAAACAGAGAAGAAGTTCCAGCCTTGTTGAGCCAAACCTTGTTGGTAAGGAGGTCTTACGTGCTTGCAGAAAAGTAGTAGATTTGGTGCTTGCACATAAGGAAAAAAGGTCTTATAAGCTTGCTATCGTTGGAACAGGAGGAGTTGGTAAGACAACACTAGCACAAAAAATATACAATGACCAAAAACTAAAAGGGAGCTTCAACAAACAAGCATGGGTTTGTGTTTCCCAAGATTTCTCTGAAATAGCTATTTTAAAGGAGATTCTACGAAAAATTGAAGTACAGTACATGCCAGATGAATTAACCGATGAGCTCCAAAGCAAGCTAGAACTGTCCATTAAGGATAAGAGTTTTTTCTTGTGCTGGATGACGTGTGGCAGTCAGACATATGGACAAATCTACTGAGAATCCCACTACATGTTCCATCCTCAGTAGTAGTTTTATTGACAACTCGATTTGACACTTGTTGTCAGTAGAAACAGGAATGGACTATACACATCGAGTTGATTTAATGTCACTGGATATAGGATGGGAGTTACTATGGAAGAGCATGGGCATCAAAGAAGAAAAAGAAGTACAAAATCTACATGACTTAGGGATCGATGTTGTTCAGTAGATGTGGTGGTCTTCCCTTGCAATTAAAGTCATTGCTAGAGTTTTGGCAACCAAAGATCAAACTGAGAATGAGTGGAAGAAGATTTTGCTAAAAGATGCTTGGTCCATGAGTAGTCTTCCTAGTGAAATAACAAGTCCTATATATCTAAGTTACGAAGAGCTGCCACACCATTTGAAGCAATGTTTTATCTATTGTGCTATTTTCCTGAAGATTCGGTAATCTACCGTGATGATATTGTAAGGATGTGGGTCGCTGAAGGCTTTATAGATGAGCAAGATGACCGAGTCCTTGAAGATATAGCAGAAGAATACTACTATGAGCTAATCTATCGAAATCTCCTCCAACCAGATTATTACTCTTCTGTTGATCTTACTCAATGTAGAATGCATGATCTACTAAGGCAGCTTGCTTGTCATTTGTCCAGAGAAGAACTTTTTGTTGGTGATCCAGATTCAGCAGGGGTTACTGTTATGAGTAAATTCCGCCGTATTTCAGCAGTCACTATGAATGATATGGTTGTGTTACCTAGAACAGATAAGGGGAAATGTAAAGTGAGAACTTGGAGAACATCTAATACAAAGTCTTTGAGAGTCCATGATACAATATTTGAAAGATTACCATGCATTCGAGTTTTGGATTTGACAGGTTCAGAGATACAAGCTGTTCCACCTTGCATTGGACGTTTGATCCACCTACGGTTACTAGACCTTGATGGGACTAACATATCTTCTCTTCCAGAGTCCATCTGTTGTCTCATAAACCTTCAGATATTGAATTTGCAGAGGTGTGATTCTTTGCATAGTCTTCCTGCAGGAATAACTCAGCTATGCAACTTAAGGCGACTTGGCCTAGGGAGCTCACCAATAAATGAGGTTCCAAAAGGTATTGGCAGATTAATATCTCTCAACGATTTACAAGGCTTTCCTGTTGGTGACGGCTCTTATAACAATTCTGTAATGCAAGATGGATGGAATATAGAAGAATTGGATCCCCTTTGGCAGTTGAGGAGGCTTTATATGATCAAACTGGAAAGAGCAGTTCCTCCTAGTAAAGATTCACTGCTAGCAAACAAAAAACATCTCAGAGAATTAGTGCTACGTTGCACTGAACACATAGGTGAGCCATATTCTGAAAAAGCTGTAATGAATATTGAGGAAACCTTTGATTTGCTAATCCCTGCACACAACCTGGAGGGTCTCAGTCTTGTGAATTTCTTTGGTCGGAGGTTTCCCGTCTGGCTAGGTAGTGCTGCCCATTTGCCTTCACTGACATACTTGAACCTCATAGATTGTAAATCATGTGTTCATCTTCCACCAATCGGTCAGCTCCCCAACTTGAAATATCTGTACATCAAAGGAACCACTGCAGTCACCATGATTGGACCCGAATTTGTTGGCTCTGGGATGGGTAATCTCAGATCTACAGAGGCAGTAGCTTTTCCCAAGCTTGAAACATTGTTCATCAGGGATATGCCCAACTGGGAGGAGTGGTCCTTTGTTGCTGAAGAAGAACAAGAAGCAACAACAACAGGTAAGGAAGGGGGAGACGATGAGGCTGCTGCAAATCAAAAGGGAGATGCCCCACTTCCAAGGATGCAGCTGCTGCCACGATTGAAGGAGCTGCAGCTTGCCCGCTGCCCCAAGCTGAGAGCTCTCCCACGGCAGCTTGGACAGGAGGCCACCAGTTTGAAGGTGATCCATTTAAGAGATGTTCACAGCCTCAAGGTGGTGGAGAACCTCCGTTTCCTCTCTGAGTACCTTTTAATCTCAGATTGTGAAGGCCTAGAGAGGGTCTCAAATCTTCCCCAAGTGAGAGAGCTGCGTGTACAGCTGTGTCCCAACTTGAGGTGTGTTGACAGGATGGACAACTTGCACCAGCTGTTGCAGACAGAGGATATGGAAGATGCTTCCTCACAGTGGCTGACTGGGCTCCAAGAGCAGCACCAACAGCTGCACGGAGAAGACATGGATGTCCACACTTGGATATAGTGAACGTACAGACATGCCGAATCAGATGGCTATGAAGATATATGTAAGCTATGACCCTTGTCTGAATTTTCTAATTTGGTTAGATGTTTATCTTCTCTGCTTTTAATTATCCATGCCCGTTTTCAATTATTTATAGGTAATCTGGCATTGAGGACGGAAGAGACGACTAGAGTCTAGAATTTGTCTCCTTGATATCCATCAGGTGCCTTATTAGGCTGGGCTGGATAGTACGGACGCGTGTCTCGTGTCAAGCTGATGCAAGGAGTTGAAGAATTTGGTGCTCTGTTTATCGAGGAAGGAGAAGATGCGTTTTGGTGTCTCCTGATCAAGTGGCGCATGTATCTGAATAACCAGTGTTTTGTATGCGTATGTATCTAAATAAGGTCGTGATATATACTACTGATGTTTTTTAGTCTTGTTTTTTATTAAGTTGTGCGAAACATTGCATACGTTGTTTGTGGAGTGCTAGCGCGTACTTTTGCCGCTACATGAAATGTGCTCGTGAATTCTGAGTACAATCCTTTCTGCAGGAGAGCAGGTGTTACTTTGCACTATTCTTTTAAAAAAAAACTGTTGCTAAGCTGGATTTTTTTTTTCGTTCAATCGTCACCTGCCCTGTGAAGGGCCCGGGAAAAAAAAAGAAACGAGGTGCGTTTTGTTTGAGGATTATTGCTCTGTGGATATGTTTTTCATTTAAACAGATGGTCAAACTTTTTCTTTGGCAGAGAGGCCAAACAACCATTTAAAGTTTGGATTGCTGAATTAAATCAAGAAACGTCTTTGTGTTTGACCCCGGTGAGGCGTTTTATACGTGCATGACCTAAAAATTTTCAAGGACGCTGTTATCTGTGACCGGATCACAGTAGGATCGGAGGACCTTGTGTTCATATCCTCCACTGCAGTCGTCCTGCAGGCCCGCTCGAGGAGGCTCTTGCTGACATTGAATTTCAGAACAGTTATATTACCGTCCGCCACTGCAGTCGTTTTGAATTCGCGTGCTATTTGTACACACGCGACACGGCGTGAACACTGGGCTGTGTGCCAACACATCTCACGCAGGCGTCTAACAGGTCTGGCCCGTCAGTTGCGTGCGTTCGTGCTGCTGGGCTTCACCCGACGGTCAACGCTGACGACAGCGCTGTGCTTCAACCAAATGGAAACATATGTTTCTCTGTCTTTTCCATGCGTCCGAAGAGTGTCATGGTAGTAGGGGGCTTGCCTTGCTCTGCTTTTGCTCCAATCGTGGCCCTCCTGTCCTGCTGACAGAGACAGAGTAACACTCTCCTGCTCAGTGAGTGCAAAGTCACTTGCTGTTCCATGTGCAGAGTCAGATTTTTGGCCTACGTGTACCACGTGTATGTACATATGTCAGGCTACTTGAGCACATCGATGACTCCCATCATCACAAATTTTTCTAGGCCAAGTTTTATTTAATGTTAAGGTTGTCTTTTATTCCTGATTGTGATCGGTTCTCATCTGACGAGTGCTCACTACTTTCAATGGAGGCCCCTGCTTGTTCCCCTCTGTTCAGCCCCTAGAATGCCGTTGGCTGTAGGAGGCTGTTCCATGCTTTGTTTCTTGCTGGCTCACATCGAATTAGTTAAAGTTTATCTAGTCTAGTTGTCTCCACTCTTAAATTTTCGTGGGAATTAGGAACTGGCTGTGGTTGCCGTGTACATAGGTATGTGCCACTCTCTTTCCTATATTTTGACTGCTTTCAAAATTTGAAAGAAGCACAAACGAAGGACTGAGTCTGCGGGGGTCGTCGATGGAATATCCAGCTGTACTTTCTTCTTTCTCTTGACTCTAGCACATGGACATTCTCGATTTTTTAGGTTAATTAAATGTCTCCACATGGCTAAGCTACCTGTCATTGGCAGCATGTTTTATTTTCATAGAAAAAACAAACAGAAAAGCTGTCTTCATTTGGCTAACATCCATAGAGTGTTAGGCATAAATGCCTTCTAGATGAGGTAGTGTGTCATGAATTTATTTCTCAAATTTGGTCAAACACTCAAATGACTTCATTTCTCATACACGTACTAATCATTAGTTTGTGGGCAATGAGGTGATGAAGTGAGGAGTGAGAAGATGATGGACTAATTTATTTTTCAAATCAAACACTCTATTAACGAAACCTGCTGAGTCCAACCCATGGTCGGAAAACTGTCTTGGTTACAGTGAGTGCCGGTTCACATGTGCTCGTCGAATCTTGAGGTAAACAAATCACATGGGCAACCAAGCTTAGGATAATCGATGTCAGTATACAACCAATAGGCTGCTTACTATTCTCAATTCTAAAATACCATAGGTTCAGCAGTCTTTGCAGAAACTGCCTTTTAGTCTACGTTTTCAGCACAGCTTATTTCCCACTCGCAAGAGGCATTTTGCCATAAGGTCTCTCTAGTTTCCATTTGCTCCTCCATTGCTGCATCCTTTCACTGTGCTCTTCCCAAGGTATGTGTCATCTCCTGAAAAAACTTCATGGCCTGTACATAGTTAAGAATGTGTTCGATCTCGTTGTTTCTGTTCACATATAATTCCCTGGTGATGCAGAGATAGCAGAAGCTTGAGGCTGGGCAGTACACCCGTTTCTGTAGGACTACAGATTGAAGAGATCCTACTGTCCGGACCAGAACACTTTTACATTGGGACAAACTGATCTCCATAAGCAGCAGTCGGACGAGTGCCTTTCCAGTTGTCCTGTATTGACCTACATTTTCTAGTTCTAATAATTGTGCCGAAAATTCTGATTCAGCGGTAATTCTTCTAGCTGGCCGTTCTAGTTATAGGTATTGATCAACCGCACTGTCACTGAATCTGCTAAACTGTTCTAGTTGTCCCCACATTTTGCAGGAGTTCCTGTGGCATCGAGTGATTGTCCTCCATTATTTATTCTGTAAATTGGTGTCTAAAGACCTTCCCTCAGTATTGAAGATCTTAAACGTACACACATGTAATGATCTGAAGGAACTGCTTCTGCAAGATGGTTACTACTTGTTCTTATTGTCACACTCATTTCCTTCATGGGAGATGATTCCTAGTCGTGCTTCAGACTTGCATGTGCTGGTCAATCAGATATGGCACAGGCTTGATGCTCTGTGTACCCATTTCTGTTGAACGAGTCAATCTCTCATCAAATAGATCCTGCTGGCAGCTCGCCTCTGTGCTTGTGGGGCAGCCCTTGGACCATCTTCTCTAGTCGACCGAGCACATTGAAGCTGAGATGGCCGAACCTGGCATGCCACAACCACGGCTCCTCGGTGTGCCGTGCTGCCAGACACACCAGCTGCTCCACCTTCAAGTCGAGCAGGTACAATCGATTACGTGAGCGTTTTATCTTCGCGAGAAGACGCCGCTCCTGATCCTGAATCTTCAGGATCCCGCTCTCGATCAGTACCTCGCATCCGCGCTCGTCCAGCTGCCCGATGCTGACGACACTTGAACGCAGCTGCGGGATGTAGTCATATCCGTCAGCGCGCGGTGCTCACCGTTCTGGCACCTGAAGATGATGGTACCGCGCCCTCGGATCGTCACCCTTGAGCCGTCACCGAACTTCATCGTGCCGGTCACGTTACCGTCGAGCTCAGAGAAGGCTTCCTTGGAGCCCGTCATGTGGTTACCGGCGCCGGAGTCCAGGTACCACCACTACTCCTATTCGCCGCCCACACGTCCGAGGTAGATTTGGGCGCGCGGTTCGTCGAGGTTGACAGCCTTCAGAGCCTTGCCGTGCTCTTTCACCACCATCACATTTCACTTCTCCTTGGCCTCAACGTCGTGCAGTGCACAGAACGTCGTCATCAAGAGAGTGGCCTCATCATCCTCATCAGCCTGTAATAAATGGGCCTCAACCTTCTTCTCCTGCTTGTGATTTGGGCACTTCTTTGCCCAATGGCCCGTCTTCCCGCAACGCCGACAGGCGTTGGGGTCGACCTTCTTCTTCTTCTTCTTCTTCTTCTTCTCCGAAAAAGCCTTGCTGCGGCTCTTGCCATGGCCACCGCAGCTGGAGGAGGCTTCCCCGGACTTCTTTCGGGCAGCCCACTCCTCCTCTGTCAGCAACAGCTTGCCGCTGTCCGTCATTGCTGTGGCCTGCTCCATGCGCTCGTCCACCGCCCATAGACGGCCTGTCACACCCTCAATGGTGACGGTGGACAAGTCCAACATGGTCTCTATGGAGAGAGCGATCTGGATGTACTTCACCGACACGGAGTGGAGGTCCTTGGAGACTGCCTCTTCTTCGTCGATGGTGACGCCGTGGCTCCTCAGCTTGCTGATGAGCGACTGCAAGCAGAGGGAGAAGTCCTCCACCGACTCACCATCCTTGAACTTGAGGGTGGCGTACTTCTGCTTCAGCAGCTAGGCCGTCACCTTCTTTGCGCGGTCAGAGCCGATGTGCATCGCTGCAATGGCCTCCCACGCCTCCTTAGCAGAGTTCTTCGCCCCCAACGCCTCCCTGTACTCCGCTGGCACAGCAGCGAGGATAGCCTCCAACGCTAACATGTCGTCTTCTTCATTGTTGGTGCCCTTGTCAATGGCATTCCAGAACCATCGGGCTCTGAGCTTGACCTTCATGGTAACCGCCCACTCGCCATAGTTGGTGCGAGTCAGCGTCAGCCAATTGGTGCCACTGACCTCCTGCACCATGCGCACGACGACCTCCTGTCATAGTTGGGCAGCCACAGCAGCGCCACTGCTATTGTCCATCTCCAAATTGTCCGTCATCGCCAGCGGTTATTCCAGCGACGACGCTTATACGTGATGTAGACAAGGCCCAATCTTCCGAAAGGTATGATAGCGTCGATTGATGGAGACTCGACGTTCACGATCTGGGCTTCGAACCAAGACTAGTTCGGACCCCCGCAACCGTTACACCACTGCTCCGTTGGTTATCAACCACGCGAACGAGATTAATCTCGCCGAGAAGGCTTTCCTTCAAGCGAATCGAGAACACAAACAAGAACGGGATGAATGCAATCTAAAATTATAAATAAATATGAGGC